ATTTCTATTATCACACGTCTCCTCATCATACTGCCCATTATGTGATCAAGAACATAATAGTGAAAATATATATATTATATGAAATAATCCTACAGCTTTTCTGCTATCGTGCTAATCAAGATAGAGAGTCTAGTATAAAGTCTTCATTAAAGCTTAAAATTAGCGAGACGGCCTTGGATCGAGAACAAAAGCTTCCAGCATCAGTAAAATTAGTCCTATCAAGAATATCAGATCCTAATGACCACTTTGTATAGGATGATTTATTGCATATGTGTACTTCAGGTAAAAGATTCTTCCACATGGATGTCTATAGAATACGGTCACCTGTGTCCAAAAGAAAACAAAAACATGAATTCTTAAACATAAGAATCCAAATGGTGAGCTTATGTTTGATATAGGACCTAAATTAGATCTTGCAAATTTTACAATTAATATAATAGAACATGAAAGCGAGGCGATAAAATTAAAATCTTTAATTGATCATGTTTACACTAGTGGCATAATACATTATGATGATGTTAATTTTCTTCTATACCCTCCAAATATTAATCCACCCAAAACTGAATTCTTTAATCTTTTCTTAGGATTTAAGGCCAAACTGATATTCCAAATTAATTATGATTTTGTAAATCTGATTATCTGGCATATAGAAAATATCTAGTATAATGGGATAAAAAACTTTTTGAATATGTTTTGAAATAGTTTGCATTTATAGTTCAGTATCCAAATATAATTCCTGGGACTATTTTTGTTTTACGCTTCCCACCGCATTGTAAAAAAACATTATCACTAATTTCATTCGAAAAAGCTTATTTGGCCTAGAGCTTATTTATTCAACTTTCGATCTTGGAAAAATTCTTAGAAAATTCAACAGTCCTATTCAAAAACGTAAGCTCATAATTATGAATGAAACGGGAATGGCATAAAATAAATGACCATCGTAAGTCTCTTATAATGGAAAATTATATTTCGATTGAGTGAAAATGACTTGAATTTCAGGATTGTAATCATTTTGCCAGATTTATAGTTCTAAGTAATCATGATGTTCTGATTAGAATAGAAATGGGAGATAGTCATATTGTATATTTAGATGTCTCCTCCCGCTGTAAAAATAATTTCACATATTTTGATTAATTGGAAGGGATACTTGAGTATCCTGATACATCAGGATCATTTATGGTATATTTATTTAATCTTAATCTTTTAGGATAGAAGTCACGTAAGATTCTTCTATTAAAAATGAAAATGGACACAATGCGAGATCAATTTTCATTTCCTATTTAATTTATTATTGATCACATTATATCATGATCAGAGAGATGTATTGAAAGAATGATATGTGATAATTTATACCAAAAATATCTTGAATGGTGTGAGGCAAATGGAGAAAAACTATTAACTAATAAAGTCACTAGGGTGAAATTTTTTCATATTGGGATTGATCGAAAGTAGATACAAGTTGATGGGAAGATAAATTGGGTTTATACTCTCAACCACTTCAAGATCGTAGCCAAACTCTGTGAACATAGCCTAGAAGATCTCAAAGAATTTTCTGATACACCTATCGAAGATACACCTTAAATAGATCTATCCACTAATGAATCTATAGACATACCTATATTCAATGTGTCAGAAATTATTCCTCTCAAAATAATTCCACCTTAACTAGAAAAGGATGTAGCAGAACAATTGGAAGTCCCAATCGCTTCAACATCTAAGACATCTGAGACTTCTAATCTATCTGAGCCAATAATTGACAAGATCTTTGAACATATCGAATCTAGCAATAAAAAAGTTTCTTCCGCATTTCCAGCTAGATAACAGCGAGAAGAGTATCTCAGAAAAGAGATTATCAATCATGGTAAAGATCCTGATAAGTTTATGATGATTACAGAAAAAGACGTCAACTTATCTTATCAAACTTGAAAACTTTATAAAATATTATTGGAATAATGAATATTCTAAAGTAACTATGCTAAGTGCTTCAAATTTCAAGCCAGCTTGTATTTTACCTGCTAAGCAAGAAAATATTTTACCAATTTCTTATCAATCATCAAATTACTAAAGCAATACAAGCTAAATATTTATTTCATCTAAATACGCAAAACAAAATAACTTAAACCATCTTAATTAGCCAAAAGGTACTACATTAAGATTGAAAGATAGAACAAAAATCATGATTGTTTAACTGGTTTAATTAATATAATTTATTATTTGCATTATATGATGGATGATCGCTTAATAGAATTAGCCAAAGACACTATACATGATCTGCAGAGTTAGATCCTCCAATATACTGTATAACAATTTTAATAAAATATTTTTTGAGAAAGATCCTAAATATTATATGAGCTCTTTGCAATAAAAAGGGAGAAAACTACCAAAAAAATTTTTTTTTGCTTTATAAGCTAAATATTATTTTTTTAATAAAATAAGTTCAGATTTAACATTAACTCAAAAAAAATTTTTTTGGTAGTTTCCTCTCTTTCTATTGCAAAGAGTCCATATTATTCAGCCATGCGAAGCGCCTTAAGACTAATACATGTAAGTATATATAATATAAATTAGCATATTTTCGATCCTCATTAAAGTATATATGATGTAATGTTGAGATCTTTAATGCATATTTCGCATATTCTTATTCTCAAAAAAATTGGCGTAAAGTGCTTTACATATTTCTCCTATCTCTTTTTCAAACATGAATGTGAGTTAGAGAGGACATGAATGAAGAAGTCATCAGAGATTTAAAAAAGCAGGTATATTGAATTTGAGTTATTTGTCGCTTATTATTTTTTTTCAGCGAAATTTTAACACCATATTTTTTCATCATTATGTTTTCTTTTGCCGAAAATATTTATAATTTTTTACTTGATTCACTTTCAAATCATATTACCGCATTTTTTGTTATTTTTCAACTAATAGAAGATGATACGTAGTATTCAAAAGATAAGTTAAGAGAAATAATTCATCAGGCAATTATAGTAGTGAAAAAGAATTATGATCAGACTTCAGAAAAATATCTGAAACTCGTTGATATTTCTTTAAAGGTTAGTGATTATTACTATTATTTATCAGATTTATAATCTTAGATGATGATTGCGCAGAATGATATTTTTATAACTATATTAAGTAAATACCCATAGCCATGTAAGCACAGGTTTAATCATATACATTAATTCCTTAGACACATGGGGGTAGATCTTAGTTATGGTTTATGAAGAAAAAAATATAGCATTCATGTATATTATCAATTGTATGCAGGCCACATATAGTTGATGATTTACTTGAAATATGTTGATGAGTATACGCACATGATTCTAATATTAAAAGATTAACTACATTAGTACTAATATAAGGCTTCTACACTAGTTTAATGATGCATACAAAGGTGTAAGTAGTCTTCAGAGTATCAAAGAATCAAAACAGGAAGAACCGCTTACTAAGAATAAAATTGAGACGAACTTGCATGTATTGAAAACCAATCTTAAAAATATCAAGGCTCTGTATGTCTACCACTTCTATAAATATTTAAAGAAGAAAAGTGCTTCAGACTTATCATGACGCATTTCACTTGCTAGTTAAGTGATTTGTGCAGATTCAGAAATGATGAGAACTTTGAAAGTAGATGCATATAACTTTTTTATGGTGAGTAATTTAGTAAATAGTATTTTGTATTGCCATAGTCCACTTTCGACAAAGAGTATCATATTAATATTATGATTCTATAGGATCCAGAGAAGCATATGAAAGTAACTGCTTCAGATCTTATTAAAAATAATTATAATTCCTTCGTTTTGAATTTCATAGACAGTATTATAGATATTCCAAATAATAGACTTTTACATGATAAAAGTTAGAAAGAATCTAACGAAAAACTAGCAAAAGTTACGTTAGGAATACTCAATATCTTATAAGTATTTCAGCAATAAAAGTCCTTAAAATTTCTATTTGAAATTACATTTAACATTATTCTTTATAAGAGAGATATTTGGAAAAATCCCGCCTTCAATTCAAAGCTAGTTAAGTCACAAAGTGAAAGGACATATGGACTCTTTACAATAGAAAAGGAGGAAACTACCAAAAAAATTTTTTTTTGTTTTATAAGCTAAATATTATTTTTTTAATAAAATAAATTCAGATTTAACATTAACTCAAAAAAAATTTTTTTGGTAGTTTCCTCCCTTTCTATTGCAAAGAGCCTATATATGATTGATGTAATAGTTCCAATGATTCAAATATCATTAAAAAATCTTCTAATTGGAAAATCTGGTTATATTTCTACAGCTGAGCGTCAAAGTATAGCCAGCAAAGATCAAAAAGGAATTAGAAAATAATCAGATGTTATGTTCATTGCTAGTTATAATAATAGGTCATATGAATTAATTTATAGTGAAAGTTCTTGTATCATTTGTGATAAACAAAAAAAGGAAAATGATAAGGTGAAAACTTGAAAAGAGATAAACAATGGAATGTATTAGGCTCACAAAGGATACAAACTGGATAAAGATGATTTTAGTATTATTGGAATCCAAAATCGCCAGAATTGAGATGCATCTAAATATCCTCATTCAAGATATGAATGAGATACACTATTTCTATAATTTACGTATAATTAAAATTCTGATATAGCTAACAGATTAGAATACAGTGTTTAAATTTGTTGAAACTTTATTGACAATATGGGTATGTGAAATGCAATTCTTATATTTCATTTGCTTAAAATTAACGCATACTTATAACTATAGAATATCTTGCACGTCAATATATCTCTTCTATATTACGCACTTCAACTAGTTCAAGTAGTAATACAAAAAATAGCTCTACAGTATCTTTTCCATTAAAATCATCATCACCACTAAAAATGAAAAAAAGAAAATCTATAAAATTTGAAAAAAAATAATCTAATTGTTGTATTTTATTTTTCTTATATTAATAAAGTGCCTGGTGGCCGATTATTTTTACACATTCATCTGTATTTTTTTCGTGTGAGATATGCATTGTCAGGCTTGAGCTTAAAAATGATAAAAATTAAGGCTGAGAATAATAAAATTATGGCCGAAAATGTTGAGCTTAAGGCCAGAATTATGAAATTGAAAGACAATTAATAAAAAATTTGTTATTATGAAAAATATGATCATGTATTAATTTGGTGAAATTTCTTCAACGCTAGGACACCCCTGCCAAATGATTTTTTCTTGTTGATCATTGGCCAGGTGTCATGTGCATTTTTGATCAGAGTTTTCTAGTAGATCTCTCATGATATTAACGCATATGATTATATTCTGGTAGACTTCGTCTTGGGTAGCAGAATGCTCTAAATTCACCGAATGCTCAGAATTCTTAGATTCTTAGAATTTTTATTATCTATACAAAATGACTAATAATATACTTACACCATCTTTTTATGTATATTACTCGAAGCAACTTAACTAACTTTCTCGATTCATAAAAATAGATATATAGCAATACCTTACATTTTAAAAGTACTCATTATCATTAAAACAGGCAAGTGGTATTCATCCTGAAGTAAAAGATATATTAAATCAGGCAGTTGAAAAATATATTAAGAAAAAAGAGCATCAGAGGATAAAGCCTATTACCAGTAACTGTGAAAATTTGTTAAGAAAAGAAAATAAGAAGTTGTGTATATCAAAGCAGGTACTGAAAAAAAAGATTGAAGAGCTTCTCGACTTGCAAGAGCAATATAAGTCTCATGAGGTAGCCATGATCAGGTCTTTAGAGAAGAGTGGCAGAAAAGTCATCCAATTATCTGATTCAGTAGCTTTCTTCAAAAGTATAATTTCTGATACAAAATAAGCTATTGCGTCTATTGAAAAATCTATTGACATATTAGAGAATAAATGCTAGAATCTGAAGGATATTATTTCTGCTAAGAACAGGAAAATTATCACTTTTGTTGATCAGATCCTTTCTAAAACGAAGTATAGTGATATGACTATAGAACTAGAAATATATTCTAGCACTCATGAAAGGAAATTATAGGTGAAGAGGTGTAGTGAATCTGAACATGATCTAGAAACTAGGAAAAAATTATACATTTTGACCTATGCATTTGCATAGTTTATGATCAAGATTAAATATCATTTTTTTCAAAAATTTGATCCCATCCTTTTCGTATCCGGTGAGGATGATTTTGGGGTACTGTAAAATCAAAGACAATGAAGTTTCGATCACACAAATAGTTATTGACATCTACATATATGTTATGTTAATTATTAGCATATAGGTGAAGAATATAGGCTAGTTCATCTGAAGTGGACCCATTGAAGAGTATGATATAATTTAATTCTTTTCTTATTAGCTTCAGACAATCAAAAAAACTCTGCATTACATATATTGGGCTTATATTTTTGTGACATTCTTCAATAAAATAAGAAACAATCTTCTCCTGGATTTTTTTCGAATCAGCAAATAGGTTTTCGAATATAATAACTATTCCTCTTTCTGGAGAAAACGAATCTATTTTTAGAATTTTATCAGGCTTTATTGCCTAGAATGTAATATCTTCATAATATGGTTTTAGGTTATTTGCAATTATCTGATATCTAGATTTGAGATATAGATATTTCGGTTTGTTAAGATGGTAACTGATTAAAACAAGATTATCATTCAAAATATATCTAGTGCCACCTTTTTTTCCATTAAACATTCAATATAGCTTATTTCCTAATAATAAATTCATGATTTCGTTAGTTTTCCTTGAATTGATTCGATCACTAACTAATATTATGAAGGGTCATTGAGGAGTTGAATTTAGTGAATTAAATTTTTTCACATCTTTAATCTCATCAATATGGAGAATAATTTTGTCTACTGGATCAAGCTTTTCAGCTTTCATATTTCTTAAACTAAATATTGATAATAGTATATCAAGCAAAGTAAATTTTCTTAGCGAAATTTCAGTGAACTCAGTTCATCAAAATCGACTGATCAAGGGAGGGATTAGACTTCACTTCACTCAAGAATCCTTTTTCGATTAGAGTATATCTGATATAGGACAGGAGATCAGTGGTATAGGAAATTTCGACAAAGTATATATCTTGCTTTCTGCAAATATTTCACTTCTTCTAATCACATATCTTTTGTATTTCTAAAGTTTCATTCTCCATCCCATATCCAACTTCTTTTTGTGATGTAAAGACCAAACACTCTTCTTTTCCAATACCAGCAATGCAGAATATAGCACATAGCTAGGGTTGGACAAGTCCAGTTCAGTCTGGTCTTGGTCCTAAAAGACTGGTCTTTTATTTTGAGACGAACTGAACCAGTTCTTATTATAGTCTAAAGACCAGTCCAAAAACTGGTTTATGAATCGGTCCCAATTTTAAGAACCCGGTCTTTTATTTAAATTAGTCTTTATAGAAAAATAATTAATGCTAATAAAGTTCGTTATTTTATTGTATAAATTTTAAAATTTTATTATTTAATAATTCTCAAATTATGTTATTATGATTACTAATAACTAATTTAATTTTAACTACATATTTTATTTCGTATCCAAGATCGTAAACATAAACTTGCTCTAGCCATTTTTGAATTCAGCCTATTTCTCTGCAATGTAATAGTTTGACCCACAATAGAAAATGCTTGTTCAGAAGCAACTCTTGTTGCTTATACTGAAAGATAATCACGTGCAATAATGCTTAAAATTGGATATTCATTTTTTTGAGCATACCACCACAAAGAGGATCAACTTTATCTTCTAATGGTGCAGATAAATACCGCATTAATTTATGTAATATTAAAGATCGTTCACCAGCTGTTGAATTATTATTAGGTACATTGACGGGAAGATTATTATTTTTTTGACGAAGACGACGAAAATAGTTACGTGTATCAATTATATTATCACCAATAATAGTTGTTGCTTTTTCTTCTATAGGCAATTTGCAATATGAAACTAATTCTAAAATTGATCTTTTTGCATCTTCACTTTCTTGTTCATTTTTAAAGGCGGATAGCTTATTACGAGGATCCAAAATAGCAGAAATTTGTGAGGTTTGATTGGCCAATACTGTTCCAATTTATGGTAAATACTATTAGCAATCATTGGTTGAGTAAATGTTGAATTATTAAATGAGTTTTCAAGTTTTCCAAGATACTTAAAAAGCAAAATCTAATATCACCATGCGTAGGATAAGTTGAAGCAGATAAAAGATTTGTTGCATGTTCAATTGGTTCTAATAAAGTCATTATATCCTTTGTTTTTTTTTAAAAAAAATTAATTTAAAATATTAAAAAAAATTAAAAAAAATTAAAAGCAATAATATTTATAAATAAAAAAAACTTACATTGATACTTTGAATTTCACTATCTGAAGGATAACGATTTTGAACATTTCGATTATCAGCTTGAAGTATTTGCAATGCGGGTTGTAAATAATTGAATTTTTTTAACATATAGTATGTTGAATTCCAACGGGTAGTACAATCAATTTCTGGAGCCAGATAATCAATATTTTTTATGGTACATAAAATCTTTAAAGAAGTAATAGTAGGTGATGATGATCGTAAATATATCATTAAACTTTGTACTTTTATTACTGCAGTATCGATTAATTGAAGTCCTTCTTGTATAACAAGATTTAAAATATGTGCCGCACATCGATAGTGTGAAAAATGAAGATTATCAAATCCCTCTTCTAATGTATTGGCTATAATTCTCTCACAAACTACCATTGCTAATGCATTGTCTGTTGTTAAAGCCAAAGTTTTTTCATTAAGCTGATATTCATATAAAATTTGCATAATAGCTTTGGACATATTTGCTCCAGTATGTTGTACTGATATTGGAATAATATCAAGTAAAAAATTATTTAATTTCTAATCTTTATTAACATAATGAATAGTTAGACTAAGAAAGGCAGCATTATTTCGAGCTGTCCACATATCTGCTGTAAAAGATATCATTCCTGAAATTTGTTCAATTACAACTTTTACTTTAAGTTTTTGTTCTTCAAATCTTAACATTATTTGATCACGTACAGTATGCTGATTATGGAATCTATATCGTGAATCAAAAGTTGAAAACATTTCACACCATTCTTTTTCTTCTACTACATTAAATGATTGTAAATCACAAATTAACCAATTTTGTACAGCTTTATCATGACGTTTCTGTTCAATTTGAGGATGTGGGTCATTCCGATATTCATGTAAAATTCTTTGCTTTTTTGGTACATTAATTGAATGTGAATTTAAATGACGTCTTAAAGTAGAAACGCCGGTCCCTTTTGAAAATTCTTGTTTGCATTTTTTGCAAACACGTTTTTCACTTTTTCCTGGTAAATTATCATCAAAAAATTTCCATACAGCACTAGAACGAGCTTTTTTTCTGAAATTGAAATGTAATGTTGAACCTACTGTAAAACCATCTAAGTCAATTTCACCATTATCATCTAAGTCAACTTCACTATTATCATCTAAGTCAACTTCGCCATCAGCTTCACCATCAGCTTTATTATCGACTTCATCATCATTATCATTACTATCTACATCGCTATCTCCCTCATCACCTTTATCAGACATTATATAAAATTAATTGGTAGTTTTTTTTAACTAATATGAGGTTGTTATTGAATAGTAAAAGTAAAATAATTTTCAAACATAATGATTAAACATTACAATATTTTCGTTTAAATAAAAAAAAAAGATTATCATCGTTGTATTACATATCGCAAATGATTGATAAACATTTTTAGTTAATTCGTTTAATTTGTGTTAGTCAATCACATGCATATTAAAGTCAAAAATCAATTTAAACTATTATAATTTTATTTAAACTATTTTACTTTATTTTTGATAATAAAGGAACGTTATATGCATTATATGTATTTAGAATTAAAAAAAATAAAATTATTTTTATTAGAACCGGTTCAGACTGGTCCTAAAATCTGAGACTGCAGACCAATAAGACCGGTCTAAAAACTGGTTTAAAAACTGGTTTTCCTAGGACTGATCTAATCCTACACATAGCGCTATATGCATGTTATAGGTTATTGTGATGATAGTGTTGAGGACCCTAAAATTTGAATGCAAGATGCATTTCCTCATTATATCTATCCAAGTGTAGACTATCTAAGAACTTAGCTCTATATGGTGAGAATTTCTTGCCTAGCAGATCCTCAAAAATATATTGGCAATTTCTTTCTCTAGTGTGATGACATAGCGGACACCATTCGAATTTTTTTATGATATATTTTAACGAATACTCCTATTGATGTGCACCATTCTCACAAGACCAAAGATACACATCATGACCATTTATTTGACCAGTCTTTCCTAGCATTGACCACCTCGCTTCTTGGCATAACCCTCAGCCTAAGCTATCTCGTTATTAGAAGTATAAGCAAAATGTATAGATATTATATTTTGAGGTAGATACCTAACTTTCTCCAGATCATCTATTAACATGAGTTCTTCTTGCATAAACCCGCAAGATAGTGCAAATTTTCCATCAAAATAATATAAAATTAGTTCATTCTTTATAACAACAACTTTTCGAATTTTATGAAGGTTTGGACTAAAGGTGGGATCAGTTGCTCTTTTCTGATTTTCTATACCCCTTCCCATTCTGCATTAGCAAGTAGGTAACGGACGGTATCTTTTTTCTTTAACGTTATTTTATCCTTTCCAATTAGGTATTTATATTTTATAGATGATCTAGATTTGACTCATTCTAAAGCAATTGCTTTCACAGGTTCAAGTCCTCATTTTTCTGATTCTGGTTTTCAAATAAGACGTGTAGGATAGTTATTTAAATAATTAATAACTACTGGTAGAAATCTAACCCATGCTCTTATTAGTTTGAATCAAAAGATATTAATTCAATAGCATACTGGATCTTGTATAGAATCTTCGAAAGTGTTTGATTGAAACACTCCATAAATGCAAGACCTCAATGGGAATATGGACTAACCACTCAAATTGTAACATTATGCTCTTGCATTATTCGAGAAGTCTTGCCCATCCACTCTCACCCATCCATCCTTGTCCATTATCTGTTTGAAATAATTTAGGATAGGTAAGAGGATTATTAGGATCATCATAAATTTTTCTGAACGCTCTAACAACTTTTGAACTATTCTTAGATGTAAGCGAAACTGAAGCCTTGTATCTGAAGGTGCAGTCTATAATATTAAGTACTGTTTTATATTTTTATCTCTATAGTAATTATGAGTGAGAAACAGTATATCGCACTGGTGTATACAATTAAGGCGTGTTATTCGCCTGTAGCTAGCTCTAGGAATGTATTTTGAAGAGGTTTTATTGATTTGGTATTACTCCTGATTTTCTAAAAAAGTTTTGTATTCACTTAGGCAGAATCAATACTCCTCTTTTTTACACGTATCACTTATCTTAAGTGTTTTCAGCAAGGGTTTAGAATTAGAATAATATCCAGTTGGGCAATAATATATATTACGCAATATGAGATTTTTTTCGATTCTCTGTATCTCATCAGGATTTATCACAATTTGCGGTTAGCTCATTCTCAAAGTAGGATTATTATGATGGTACTATAATTAGAATAAAATACCATATTTGATCTAGCATATTTACAGCTTTTAGATACGAACTAGGAGCTTCGTAGTGAGTTTCAATATGAGATTTTTATTAATAAAAGTAATGAGAAAAAAATTCGTTCTCTTGTGAAGGAGCTTGAGCAATGTTATTGAACTATTTTATTATAGATAATACTATCGTAACCCATAAAAAAGAGGTAGAGAAACTTAAATCAGAAATATCTGATTTGCAAAAACAGTTTAAGGTTTTACAACAGGATAAAAAATTCAAAGATGAGGTTAGATCCATTCAAGATGGTCAAATCATAGAGCTCGAAAATAAGGTTAAAAATTTTAAAGCGAGAATCTGGATTCTCATAGATAAAAAAATCCCAATAAATGCTTTAGATATGGTAATGACTAATCTTATTGCAAATGTTAATAGAGGGTTAGATCAAATTAAAAATTACATTAGGGAGCTGGTACGCCTATGCAAAATTCTGCCAATGTTATAGATAGAATCAGAGGCTCGTTAAATACTATTCAGATTACTTTACAAAATATCACAACTGAGAGGGATCAATATCAGAACCTATTAAATGATTCAATTTGGTAGGTAAAAGATCTTAGAAATCAGTTAAATGATAACAGAAATCAGAATTTACGGTTACAATATTTATTAGATGAATTCTGCATTCAGATTGAAAGAATTACACAGATGCATATAGATGCTTTAAATAATGAAATGAAACACATAGAGAGTATCGGCAATTGGCTCAAAATAGGCAAGAGCGTATTGGCAAATTTTTACATGAAAATTTTGTCTACCGACTATTAATTCAGCATAAGGATACTCAAATTGCTGAGCATAGAAGAACTGTATATAGATTAACTGTACGCTATAATAATGATACAGAACGCTGGAGAAGAAGACATGCAGGTTGTGTTCGCCAGGCACAAAATTGGAAGGGACAGTATAGGAATTCACAGAATCAAGTTCAGGCTCGTGACCAGAATATTTTAAATTTACAGGAACAAATTTTAACGCTTCAGAATAACCACCTAATATACAACATATAGGAATGGTAGGATACGGACCCTAATATTTTATGGTCGTCCTAGAGAGGATCCAGAAGATTGGCTTAGGGATATGCAAAGATATATAATAGCTAGTCGAATAAATGTTGCATCTGGTGCAGGTCAAGTTGCTGAAAGAGAAGAGATATTTGGATTAGTAGTATCATGTCTTGCAGGTGATACATTGAATTTTTATTTAACTCATATCAAAGGCAAAAATTGGAGATGTAATAATCTCTCAGATAACTTAGATGTAGCAGACTTAAATGCTGTTTAAGTAATAGGTGCTGAAAATGGTAGTAAACAAATTGGTGGTTTGAATATTGCTGGAGAATTTCAAGGTAAAGCGGGAGCTGAAATTAGTAGAATTGGAGCTAGGGTCGCAACTGGTGCTGATATTATTCTGAATGGAACATAGGATGAAGACTAGTTTATCGTAAGTGATGAGCCTACAAATAATATACCAGTGACACCGAATGCTGGAGGTGGTCTTCCTGCTATTACTATTACTCCTGGTATTAAGCTTAGCTAACTTCTTTATCTGTTTAAAACTGCTTATACAACAGTTGAGTATTTAAAACAAACAGCAGTTTTTGGTCAACTCGTGTAGAATGATTTGTTCATTGAGCAATTCTTCACTAAAATTAAAAAGATTGGTAAATTAGCTGAAATAACTCCTAAACAGTAAAAAGAACAATTTATTCATATTTGTCTCTGATGAATCAATATAATCTTCGAATGATGGCCAAATTTCATGATACTCAGGATAATATTACAGAAGCATTAGCTGAAGCAGAAAAATTTACATTATCTCAACAGAATGCATCATCTTCTTTTCCAATTTTTCTGACGGCCAATCTATATGTAGATACTAACAGATCAGAGATTAGAGTTCCGGATGAGTCGAGTTAACTCACGAGTCAGATATGTCGAGTCGAGTTTAAATCAAGTCGAGTTTATATTTTTTTGACTCGATGATTTACAAGTCAAATCAAATTCGAGTCGAGTTAAATATTTAACTCGACTCGATTTAAACTCGACTCAAACTCGACTTGACTTGAGTTGACTTGAAATAGTATTATTAATAAATTAATATTTT